GCCGCGGCCCTTCGCCACCCGGCCCCACCTTGGCCCGGGCAGCCACGCCCCTTCCCCATCCTCCTGCTGCCGCTGCCACCAAGCTCTCCGCCGCCCGGCCCCACCTTTAAGTTTTTTTCCTGAAATTTCCCTTAAAATGAAGGTGCGTGTTATACGCCTGTGCGTGTTATACGCCAATAAATACGGTATTTGTGCCCTGAAGAAAATAAGATAATCTGTTATTAAAAGTCTCAGTAAATAATAATAATAATAATAATAATAATAATAATAATAATAATAATAATAATAATAATAATAATAATAATAATAATAATAATAATAATAATAATAAAAGTTGGAAGGGACCTTGGAGGTCATCTACTCCAACCCCCTGCTCAGGCAGGAACCCTACACCATTTCAGACAAATGGCTGTCCAGCCTCTTCTTAAAAACTTCCAGTGTTGGAGCATTCACCGCTTCTGGAGGCAGGTTGTTCCACTGGTTAATTGTTCTCAATGTCAGGAAGTTTCTCCTTATTTCCAGGTTGCTTCTCTCCTTGATTAGTTTCCGTCGCTTCTTGTCCTGCCTTCAGGCGCCTTGGAGAATAGCTTGACTCCCTCTTCTTTGTGGCAGCCCCTGAGATACTGGAACACTGCTATCATGTCCCCCCTCGTTCCTTCTCTTCGTTAATTAAATTTAATTAAATTTCTACACTGTCCATCTAGCTTAAAACCATATGTGAATAAACCATAGATTAAAAATTAAAAAACAGGTTAAAACTTAAGTAAAAATTGTATAGGACATATGCAATGTCTCCTGTTTATGCTCCTTTGTAAAACTTTCTATTGAGGGGGCTCCAGGCCAAGGATTCTATGCATGAAGGAATCTGATTCCTTCAGAATGTGCAGGGCATTTAAGGGTGTGTATGTGTGAGAAAAGTAGCTGCCTTAACTTCCTGACCCTCCTGACCAATAGGCTCTTTATTTTTGCTTTAATAATCCCCCAGAAAGAGGTTTGTATTGAAGGTGTTGGAGAGAGACTGTCCAGTCCAGGGGAGGACTCAAATGGGAAATTAGCCTGGAATCCCTACATGGACACAAGAGAATGAACTCTTTAATGCCTTTGAACCTTATCTAGTGTAGCCAAGTCAGCCTGGGAAGATTCCTGCGTATAAGCTTGAGCAATAAAACAAGTAACTGAGTTCATCACGTCGTGCCCGACAGATGAGTGGGTGAAGAGAAGCAGAAAGTTTAATTTCTGAGCCAAGGCTTGAAACCTTGTCGTTAAAAGTAATTTGATTATCAGCCGTGCAATTATTTTAATGCAGGAAGAGGCCTTGCAGTCTAAAAGGCTTGTCTGCCGTTTCACCTTTTGTAAAACCTGAAGTCCTTTACCTTTTGATTCACACAGCCTCTAACCGGGATTCCGTTCTTTCCCTTCATTTAAATCAGCTGGCTGTACAGAAGTACGAAGAGATGTTCCCGGCTTTCTCGGATTCCAGGGAGTGCAAACTGGTTAAAGTGAGTAGTTCTCATCGAGTCTTAAGGCCAGCCTCACTGAATGTGTGCATCTGATAGGAAGCAGACATTTTCAGTCTCAACGTACCGACGGTAAACTTGGATTAGATTTTTAGCTACCAGACTCGAGTGATATTGTACAAAGATGGCAGCAGTTGTGAGTTAGAAATTAATTGCACGATTGGTCAGCAAAGAAGGAGGAGCTAAGCCAGGGGTAGGCAACCTTGGCTCTTTTATGACTCGTGGACTTCAAGTCCCAGAATTCCTGAGCCAGCATGAGGGAAACTTTGGCCCCTTCATGACTTGTGGACTTCAAGTTCCAGAATTGCTGAGCCAGCATGGCTCAGCTTGGAAACCTCTCCCTTTCCCCTCAGCGTGGCTGGCTCAGGAATTCTGGGAGCTGAGGTCCACCAGTCATAAAAGAGCCAAGGTTGCCTGCCCCTGAGCTAAGCCATACAATGATGGCATTGTTCTTAAGTACTGGGGCTTAGATTTCCAGAAAATACTGGAGATGTTTGGCTAGTTAAACTTACAGGATGCTTTTTCTGTCCAACGGTGGCTCAGCGGTTAAAGACACTGAGCTTATCAGCTGGAGAGCTGACAGCCCGGGTTCGAGATCTGAGCTCCACCCAATGGGGTGAGTCCTGCTACTTGCCCCGCCTTCTGCCCATCTAGCATTTCAAAACATGCAAATGCAAGTAGATTAATAGGTACCACTTCGGTGGGAAGGTAACAGCATTCTGTGTGTCTCGGCGTATAGTCATGCTGGCCACCTGACCTTGCCAATTGTCTTCAGACAACTCTGGCTCCCTTAGCCAAGAAACGGAGGCGAGAACCATGCCCTGGAGTTGGACATGACTAACAGGGAAAGCTTTACCTTTGATGGTTTATATAAGGTTGGTCTACCCAAGACCACACAATGTCACAAAAGCAATGACGGGCTCTTTGGCCAGCGTATAACATCTGCGCTCAAACCACTGAGTCTTCTAACTCCCTTGCGTCAGCGGCTGAACCTTGACGCCTGTCAATGCTGCTTTGTTTGGGAATTGATCTAGAAATGCCTCACCCCTGTCCTGTCTTCTTTCCTAGAAATTGTTGGATGCTCACGAGGAGCAGAATATTGACAGTTACACTGAATCAGTAAGTTTGGGATTATCCTCTTCCTTTCCATTACTGTCCAGCTCATTCCCCCCCACCCCAGCTTGGTGCCTCCTGAACACCTGGGATTCCAATTATGTGATCATGGACGATCAAATGCAACCTATGTAGGGAACATCAAGCTGGGAAGAGAGCGGGTCCATCATTTGCTCTGCAAGTAGACAGACTGGAAGGCTGCAAAACGGCCTGAAATTCTGGCGTGCAGTCACAGCTCATCTGGAAGGAGAATGACCAGGGGAGGGTGGGAATACAGGTAGTCCTCAACTTACAACTTTTCATTTGGCGACCGATCGAAGTTACAACAGCACTGGGGGGAAAAACATGACCCACAAGTTTTTCACACTTAAACTCCCCATGATCACATGATCAAGTTTCAAACACTTGGCAACTGACTCATATTTATCGCAGTTGCAGTGTCCCAGGGTCCCGCGATCCCCTTTTGCAACCGTATGAAAAGCAGAGTCAATGGGGGAAGCCAGATTCAGTTAGCAACCATGTTTCTGACTTAACTGCAGGGATTCACTGAAGAAAGGTCGTCAAATGGGGCAAAACTCACTTCACAAATGTCTCAGCAACAGTTGTGGTCGTAATGTCAGGGACTATCTGCATTTAAATTCCCATTAATAGAATATTCCTGGCCACATTTCTCTTTTTTTCCCCCACCAGGTGAAGGAATACGACTCGATCTCTCGCCTGGACCAATGGCTGACTACCATGCTTCTGCGCATCAAGAAAACCATACAGGGTGAAGAGGAAGATCTGCGTTAAAAAAAAAAACCCTCACCCTTTTGCCCTCCGGCCCGTTATTTGCAGAACTCTGCCTGGATCAGCTCTGGGGGAAAAGAGGGTCTTGGCACGAAGGAATTAGACTCAAGTGGCAAATTCTTCCTTTTCGCTTCCTTTTCTCATCCCGCCTCTTTGCGCTGCAGTAAACAGGGCTGGGATGCCTCACCTGTGGACTGCTCCGGAGAGATCTGGAGTCCTCCCAAGCCTTGCCTGGCTTTCCGAGTCAGCATTTACACCCTCCCCGTGGCTTCGTTGATGGTTTAATATTTAAAGCATCTTTAGTAAGTTGGGTTCGTTGATGGCGCCATCCTCTTTTCCTTCTGCCCCAAATCTTAACGGATACTGATACGGGAAAACGGCTTCTTCTTTACAGCAGAAAGAACGCCTGGTGATATTTGTGGCTTCATCTCATCTCTCCCTCCCTCCCTTTTTCAGCTCCATTTTTTCCACAGGCATTGCCAGGCTAGGGAGCCCCTTCCGTGAGTTTCGGTCAACCCTTCTTCCAAAATAATATTTTAAAGGTGGGCAGAATGGCGCTGATCTCTAAACGAAGGTGCTGGGCTTGCGAAGCGCCTCTCGCCTGCCTCGTTTCAAATAACGCGGGAAACCCTCACAAATTCTGGCTGTTGCTGATGATGAGCTGTAGGAAACAATTCGGCTTCATTCCATGTTTCTTTCTTGAACCCTGAACCCTTAATTTATGTGCGTTAGCCCAGTTTATCCCTTTAGAGCAGGGGTGTCCAACCTTAAAAGACTTGTGGATTTCAATTCCCCAGCCAGCCAGAATTCTGGGAGTTGAAGTCCACAGGTCTTAAAGTTGCCAAGATTGGACACCTCGGCTTTAGAGATTGGTGTTAGAAGTATGGTGTTGTATATCCATCTCAAGCCTGATAAAGGATATACAGTCTCCCTCCTCAACAAGAGGCAGATCAACCTCGTACTATGCAGCGGGTAGCCCCCAAAAACTCCTAATTTAAAACTAGAAGCTCTGTGCACAAGCTGTCTTGATCTCTCGTCTCGCATGATTCTCCCTCCTGGCTTAGTTTGAAGAGAGCATTTTTCCAGCCAGGTGTTCTGTATACATCGACATGAAGCTGCTGTTATTTTTCTTCCCCCTTGTCTTTGCTTTAAGAGAAAGAGCTTTATCATGTAATCTAGCATCTTCATGAAGGTTTCTCATATTTAAATGTTTCCTTACTCTGTTGTTGGACGGTGGACTTAAAGTCTGTTGCATGTTCCAAAATGTCTACCGGAAAGCAACTAATAGTGAAATAACTTGCACACAAACAATAAAAAGGAAAAAAAACCCCCAACTTTGCATGTGGAAACAGTGTTGGCGTCAAGTATGATTATAGCCTCCCCAACTTTAAAATTTCTGTTGCTTTCTGTAAATGTCTTGCTTGTTTTCAAGCCCATCGCTCGTCGTTCTTCCCTCCCCTTTTTCCCCTCTGGATTCCGGTTCCGATCCCCTTTCCCACCAGTTTTTCTAAGTTGTGATCCCGTTCCTGAACACTGGCTGTGATTCTACCTGTCTAAAACACCTGCATGCTTGAATTTGGCTGCCTGTGTGTGTGTTTGTTCGTCTGTGTACAAATTTTTGTGACCGCAGTAGATTTGGATGAGCAGTCCTGCTTACAGGAGTGAGAGTTAGAGGTACTCTGAAGTTGCATAACAAATAAGAACGTCCCCATATCAATTGTGCAAATTAAATCAAGATTACTTTAAATGACATAACTCTCTCTGCAGGGCACTGAATTTTCTCTTAATTGGAATCTTTTTTCCCCCCCTGCTGGCACTAAAGTAACTTTTGCTGAACCTCAGTGCGTTTTGAGAAGCATATCTACCCAGCCATAAAAACCACCTGGAAAATGGTGATAATTGTCAGGCATGAAAAGACTTGCAGTCCAGAGATTGCCAGTTTGAACATGGCTGAATTTGAGGTGTCCACGAGGCTTGCAGCAAGAAGTAGCTGGTTTTCTAGCAATTACATCACATTAATGTTCTCCAGAGAAGGACAACACCTGCCATCCTGGGGGGGGGGGGAGAGGGGGGCAGATTGAAAGAAGGGGGCTGATATCCTCTGCCAAAACAAAGGCCCACAACAATAGTTGTTATATGTTAAGCAATTAAATACTTAACACTGTAAATCCTCAAAGATGCTATCTAAACGAGAGTATGTTTCTTTGGCTTGCATTCAGTACTAACATAAGTTATCCCTGGTTCAGAAGAACTGGACTACGCCCAGATTCCACGAATTGCTGGAATGGGTTTCCATGAAGTCCTAAGTTTGACCTGACTCCAGAACTTGCTTTATTTAGCTCTGAAGTCATAAACGTTTTGTGCCAATCCCATATTGCTGCCGCTTGTGGGCACACCTATTGTCACAGAATTAATGGCCAGGGATGTGGAAGTAGTAAAACCAGCCAGACTAGAAGAGACAGTAGGACTTGTTTATGGAAGCATAATCTGGATTAGCTGCCTCCTGGAGTGATTTAGACCAGTAGAGTTTTGTAAACTATTCTTGCCATGTCAACAGTACAAACTAGAAATAAAGCATGAAGCTGGCATTTGTGACTCAAACTGGATCTTGTATTACCTTAAAAGCCAATACCTCAATTTCGTGTCATGTCCTTTGGTTAAAAATAAAAACAAAAAAACACTGCACAGCCACAGATGCGTGTGAAGCATTGTCCTGAAGAGGCTGAAGCACAAATGGTTGGGGGTGGGTGGGATTTAAATAAGTTAAAGAAATAGGAAAAAGTACAGAGGGCAATGCAGATAATCCTTGACTTAAAACAGTTCATTAAGTGACTGTTCAAAGTTACAATGGCACTGAAAAAGGGACTTACAACCGTTTTTCACACATCTGTTGCACCATCTCCTATGCTCACGTGATCAAAATTCAGACACTTGACAACTGACTCATTTATGAGGCTGCAGTGTCCCTGGGGTCATGTGATTCCCCTTTGTAACCTGAAAAGCAAAATCAATGGGGGAAGCCAGCTTCACTTAACAACCATGTTACTCACTTAACAATTTCACTGGTTCACTTAACAGCTATGGCAAGAAAAGTCGTAAAATGGGGCAAAACCCACTTAACAAATGTTTCACTTAACAAGACATTTTGGGCTCAATTGTGGTCGTAAATCGAGGACTATCAATTGCTGAAGGAAAAGTCTTCATCATGGTTCAGTCCAAGCCGGGAATAAACAACATGGCGACTGCTTTAGAAAGAAGGTTGCAGTTTATTGAAGAGGAGAGCCAGATAGGAAGATGGCTCTGGAAGAAAAGAGAGAGAGCCCATGTAGGGAGTGGGTTTTTATACCCTCTGGAGCCTTTTGTTTGGAGTTGTTTCCTGTTCCTGTTTGAGGCTTTGTATTTCCTGTGTCATGTATTCTGACCTGTGTCTGGGTGTGCCCTTTGGCATCTGTGGGTTAATCCTATTATGTCCCGTCTTAGAGTTTGGGTGGGGTATGTAGATTTTAGGTGTCTTTGTCTTCTTAATCTTCTAGCTTCAACCTTCCTGAATGGTTTACCGCTGCATTTCTACAGAGCTGGTTTCTGCTTGGGGGAGGGAGACTTGGGGCTATTAAGAAAACTGGGCATGCTTTTCTGCCTCTTTAAGATCCTTTGAGGAAATATATTTTTCTGCCCTTTTAATATTTCCTTCTCTGGGGAGCTGACTTCCCACACTGTCATTGGGAGAAAACACCGTTAAAGTTATTACAGGAGAAGAAATCAGGAATCTCAGAGTAATTTTTATTAAAGAGGCATAATGGCCAAAGTGGGTTTTAAACTGGGGTACGGCGAGAAGATAGGTAACTAAGACAGGCATTAGTTAAATTACAAGCATGATAGCAATTTTAATGGGTTACAAAATCCTTTGTTGAGACCTTTTTTTTAAAACAAATTTTATTGGTTTTTTAACTTTTACAACAGAATGCTCAAGACACACCGTGGTGGTTAGGTGATCAATCATCCAAAAACAAAATCATATAATAGCTCAAGTAAATACATTAAATGTTCCCTCTCTATTTCCCTCAAATAATATAACCTATTTAACACAATCCATTTCTACATTACATATCTATAAATCCTAATCCTGTTTTGAGCTTTATTCATTTACAATTACCATAGTCCAATTTAATCTTAGATAAATGTATTATCACTTCGGGTATCCCTTCTAAAATACTAATCCAGATACTGTATATTCTAATTTATAATCTCATAAATCATTGATTTTATCACAGATCTCTCTTATTACTTCAAATAGCATTTAAATCTCATTCAAATAATTATCACATCTAAAAAAAAAAAAGAACACACCTATTATTACACAAAACATCGTCTTGCTAACTTTAACACACTCAATTAGTTGTTAAAGCTATCCGAATTTCTAAAAGCCTCTTTCATATTCTTATTCTCTTGGTTTCTCTTCAGATCGTATAAATCTTTCGCCTTTGTTGAGACCTTTTGAAATGCCCAAAAAAAACTTTTTCAAGTTCGTGGAGTCTTAACAATTTCTCACGATGCTGTTCTCCTTTTTTTTTTTTTTTTTTTTTAGAAATAGTCCCGTCTTTCTAAAAAGTCACTTTGAGGTCACCATAGGTCTCTTACAATGCCCACAGTCGAAGAGGGGAACTAGGCAATGTATTAAATGTTAATATTAATTATTGTTAAATAATTTCAATTTAATATTATTGTTAATATTAATTGTTAATATTAATTATTGTTAAATAATTTCAATTTAATATTAATTATTGTTAATATTAATTATTGTTAAATAATTTCAATTTAGCTGGGAGTTAAAACAAAGTCAAAAAGCTGCTCAAAACCTTCCAGCCTAGCTGTAGATGACGTCACCGCCTTGCCTCCGGCTCGCCCTGCTGTCACCGAACGCGCATATTCCACGACGCCCCGCCCTCCCGGAGACGTCACCCGCGGCGCGACTGCCGACGTTGAAAGTCCCCCCCCCTCTTGCCGTCGCGTCCCGGGGAGAAGACATGGAGGACGACGGGGCTGTCCTCAGCGGTGCCTGAGTCGGGATGGAGCCTCCCCGCAGCTGCCCCTTCCTGGAGGACAGCTTCACCCGCTTCTCCTCCCAAAGCAACGTCTACGGGCTGGCCGCCTTGCCGGGGGCGGCTCGGGGGGGCGGGCGAGGGCAAGAGGGGCCCGCGGGGGCGGAGGAAGCCGGGGGAGGAGAGCTCTTCTCCCAATGGGGCCCAGAGGTGGCGGCTGGGCTGGGGGGGGCACCCGGGGAAGGCCCGGGGGGGCTCCTGGCGGCCACCCTCAAAGGGAAGGTCACTTATTTCCGCTACCAAGACATGAGGCGGAATCTGCGGCCGGTGGCCAGGGAGGTGCAGTTCACCTACATCCCAGGTAAGGCCTGGGGAGGGGGGGGCTGTCCGGGTCTGGGGTGGGGGGTTTAAGGGAGAGGCTGGGGGCTGGCCTTCCCTGCTGCATTAACAGAGGGAATAGAATCAAGATCACGTGAAGTCCTAATACCACTTTATTCTTGTGGAAAACGAAAGAACTCTTACGAATTCCAGAGGGGTTTAGCAGAGAAGTTTATTTGCGCAAGGTTCAGAGCATATTAGAGATAGGCAATTCTGAACGAGGAGGGCGGGATTAGACTTCAGTTTTTATACTCCCCTCCTTTCAGGAACAAAGGGACTACACATTGAAATACACAGTGTGATACTGAAGTACACACTGTGATACATTAGGAGTGTTTCTCACAGGCATACAATGGAAGGTTTTGCTACATGCAAAGTATCCATGTGCAAAGCGCATTTGGTTGCCACATATTACTGACACAGAACTTTCCCAGTGAATTTTCCCAGTGATTATGCATTACATCATTGTTCTAGCAATTATGCAGACACATCATTATTGCAGTTATGCAGACAAATCATTATTCTAATAATTGTTCAATTTACTACATTATTATAATAGTTGGGTAAGACCACACTTGGAAAGACTGCGGCCAGTTCTGGTGATCGTATTATAAAAAAGATGTTGAGACTCTGGAAAGAGGGCAGAGAGAAGAGGAACAAAGACGATTAGTTCGTTTAGTGACCATTTGAAGTCACAAGGGCACTGAAAAAAAGTGACTAGTGACCATTTTTCCCACTTAACAACTGTTGCAGCCTTCCCAGGATCCAAATTCAGACACTTGTCAACGGGTTCATATTTATGACGGTTGCCGTGTCCCGGGGTCATGGGATTAGCTTTTGTGACCTGACACGCAACGTCAGTGGGGCTGCCAGATTCACTTAACAACCATGTTATTAAGAACTGCAGTGATTCACTTAGCAACAGTGGCCAGAAAGGTCGTAAAATGGGGCCAAACTCACTTAAGAAATTCCTCACTGAGCAACAGAAAGTTTGGGCTCGATTGTGGTCCTATGGTTGAGGATTCCCTCTATGAAGGAGATTCCAAGTTAGAAATGATTTCCATTTCTGATGTAATTTACATTACAAATGGTTTACATTCGTAAAATATAACCGGGTGCTGCCTGCAAGAGGAGATGAGTTTCTTTCTGTGATCTTCGGTAGGATTGCATAACATAAGTAGCTCTTTTGTTTTTCCCCAGTTGATGCTGAGATTGTTTCTATTGATACTTTCCACAAACCACCTCCCAAAAGAGGCCTTGTCGTGGGAATAACCTTCATTAAGGTAGGCAGGTCATTTCATTCATTGTTTTTCTTGCAATTTGCTTCAGTACGTGCCTACCTTTGTTATGTTCGTTTAAGGTGTGCAGTGTTTTTGCAGAAATGTTGCAAAAATCAAATACTTTCTTTGCTGTTGTTGGAACTCAATTTTTGCTCTGGATTTGGTCACAAAACTGCTACCGAGCGGCTGTTCTCATTAGGTACCTTATAGATCCTCGTAAAGTTGCACTTCAGCAAAAAGCTTTCTACGGAACCATATTTTCTTTGAATTTAGATTTAATTCTGCTGGTTTCAGGGTATAGCTATATAATCTTATTGACAGCAGCAGGGAAGTCATTTGATCCCTTCGGAGATGTTTTTCAGCTTGTCAGTCTGCCTACAGCCTTGGGATTTCCAGAGGTCTCCTACCCAATTACTATTTAGCTCTGCTCACACAGAACAGAGGGAGAAAGAGATCCCTATTTTTTGCTTATCCTGTTTTTTTTGTTCAGTTCATCTCTATTTTCCTCTCCCCAAGAATTGTAAATACAGCTAGTCCTTGACTGACGACACAATTGATCCCCAGATTTCCATTGCTAAGCAAGACAGTTGCTAAGTCAGTTTTGCCGCATTTTACGACCTCCCTTGCCACCGTTGTTAAGTGAATCCTTGCGGTTGTTAAGCTAGTAACACGGCTGTTAAATGAATTTGGCTTCCCCATTGACTTTGCTTGTCAGAAGGTCATCACATGACCCTGCGGCACTGCAACCGTCACAAAAACATGCCAGTTGCCCAGTGTCCAAATTTTGGTCACGTGACCACGGTGTCGTGGAAAAACCCAATGGAAAAGACAAGAGACAGCAACACAAAACAATAAATCTTACTTTAAGATTCAGGGGTTTATTTTGCTAATAACTTGGAACATAGCAAGCATAATAACACAACATCACTTATATTAATAACCCATTGCAGTGAAGACCATATGGCATTGCAGATTCCAAAAGGACAGCTATAGGCCAGTGGCCCCAACGAGCTGGTCTTGAGCTAACATTTTTATACCTTTCTCCCAACGACCACCCACGTATAATCATTATTTTGCAAAATCAGTTCCTTGTTCTTTCATGCTGACCAGCAGCTTCCGCATACATCTGTGTACAACTAAAACCTTCATCCATCTGTTACTTTCAGTTCCTCTTCCCACGGTTACAATGCTCGTGTTCCAAATATATATATAAAACTATCCACTTTGCAATTTCATAATGCACCCGCTCAGCCAATTACAAATTTTTTGTTCATATTATGAAACAGTTTGAGTTAAAGCTTTGTTTTAAATCATTGCTGTGGGACTTAGCTTACTTAATGAGTAAGGGGCTATATTTTCATTTCCCACAACGGGGATGCTGCAACGGTTGTAAGTGTGAAAAATGATCATAAGTCACTTTTTTCAGTGCCGTAACTTTGAACAGTCACTAAACAAATGGCTGTAAATCAAGGACCCACCTGTATTGTATACATTTTAAACCTATGCCTAATGATCCAGACTATTCTGCCACTAAGGTCTCTAGTACATCTGAGCAATTCAGTGCTTTATTCTTAGCATCACAGAAACTAACCATTTAAAACAGCAGAGGGCACTTGTGCAAACTGGAATGATGGAAGTCCCCCAGTGCTTGATCCGACTTCAGTGAATAAAGCTGAATCTGTCAGCATCGACGCAAGTTTAGTTTGTTCTTTCCGTTTTTTGCAAGTGTAGGTGGATTGTAATGAAGCACAATTATTGGAAGCTGTGCAATGGCCAGAGCTGACTTTGAATTCTTTCAATCCATGGATTTGTCTGGATTTTTCATTTGCATAAATCGAAGGGGACCTGTCCCCATACATACAGACAAGGCTGCTTTAAACAGATTAAGATCTAGAGGACACTCTGTTGAGATCTATGCTTTTCTATGTCTCAACGGGGCTGGATTCTTCTTTTGGGGGAGTATCCCCTGTCCCTCATATTCCCAGTTGACTATTACTGGTCATTCCGCCTCTTCTTGCTATTGCTTAGCAACTGGGTGAGATGGGATGATTGGCAGCAATTGTTTTAATGGCCTTATTTTTCCTTTTCAGGATTCTGGAGACAAAGCCAGCCCCTTCCTTAATATTTATTGCGACTACGAACCCGGCTCTGAATATAATCTGGATTCTATTGCACGTGAGTTTTCTCTGCCCAACTCTGTTCTCCGATGCCATCTTTTGTCTTGTTTCTGCTTCCCTGGCCTCTTCGAGATTTTCTGAAGAGCCTTTTGAGAGCTGGATATAAGAAAAATAGCGAGAACATTCATGCAGTTGCTCCTGGGACAAATGTCTTCTTGTTATAAAAAAATATGACTTTTTTAAAGAATTGATTCCCTATGTCTGCTGCTTTTCTGAGTGGAAAGAGACAGTTAGATAGTTGCACCAACCGATAGAAACCACGATGACTACAAGAACCAGCATTAAAGACTCCTTTTGCAGACAATTGGCTGGGTATATTTTTAAAAGAATATCTCAGAACTTGTACCTACCTGGGATAACACTCAGTCCTCGACGCTGCAGTTTGAGGATGTTATCTCTCTCGGACACTTTCATAATCCCCAAACGTGATAAACCACAATTGGGATGTGAATTTCCGTTGCTAAGCAAGGCGGTTGTTTAAGTGAGCCGGACCTGGTTTTTATGACCTTTTTAACCATGTTTAAGCTAATCCCTGCCGTTGGTAAATGAATCAGATGGTCATTGAGTGAATCTGGCTTTTCCTTGTTGACTTTGCTTGCTGGGAGCTGCTTGGGAAGGTCCCCTGTGACAACCAAGTGACCCTGGGACGCTTCAACCCTTGGAAAATACAGGCCACTTGTCAAGCACCTGAATTTTGATCACACAACTGTAAGGAATGCTGAGACAGTCGTAGGTGCGAGGACTGGTTGTAAGTCACTTTTTCAGTGGCTTTGAATGGTCTTCCTCTCAGCTTGAGAATCATGCCTGTTTCTCATTGGTTCTTATGCACGTTAATTTTGTGCCTTTTTGTCCTTCGCAGAAAGCTGCCTGAACCTGGAATTACAGTTCACACCTTTCCAGCTGTACCACGCAGAGTACGTACCTCAACGAAGCGAGCAAACCTTTGGCCTTCGCCATTAGCCACCTTCCCCTGCGGGAAGTTAATGCGGCCGTATCCGTGCAGAAATTCCACACATCGGGGTTTTACTTGTCTTTTAGGAACGGTGAGGCAGGAAGGGCAGAGAAGGCAGGACAGTGCAGGAGGGAGGGAGGAAATGGGAATGGAAGGAAGAAGAAGGCAGGACAACGAAGGAAGAAAACAGGAGAATGCAGGATAAGGGAGGGAGGGAGGGAGGAAGGAAATGGGAATGGAAGGAGAAGAAGGCAGAACAAGGGAGGGAGGGAGGACATAGGAATGGAAGGAAGAAGGAAGGAGAATGCAGGATAAGGAAGGGAGGAAGGAAATGGGAATGGAAGGAAATGGGAATAGAAGAGAAGAAGGGAGGGAGGGAGGACATAGGAATGGAAGGAAGAAGGAAGGAGAATGCATGACAAGGGAGGAAGGAAGGAAATGGGAATAGAAGGGAGAAGAAGGAAGGAAGGGAGGGAGGACATAGGAATGGAAGGAAGAAGGAAGGATAAGGAAGGGAGGAAGGAAATGGGAATGGAAGGAAATGGGAATAGAAGAGAGAAGAAGGAAGGGAGGGAGGACATAGGAATAGAAGGAAGGAGAATGCAGGATAAGGAAGGGAGGGAGGAAATGGGAATGGAAGGAAGAAGGCAGAACAAGGAAGGAAGGATAAGGCAGGACGAGGGAGGAAGGGAGGACATAGGAATGGAAGGAAGAAGGAAGGAGAATGCAGGACGAGGGAGGAAGGAAAGAAATGGGGCTCCCCTTGAGGAGCACCCGGAGGCTTCAACTGGTCCAGAATGCGGCCGCGCGGGCGGTGTTGGGAGGGACTCGTCGCTCCCATGTAACACCGCTGCTGCGCGAGCTGCACTGGTTGCCGGTGGCCTTCCGGGTGCGCTTCAAGGTGCTGGTCATCATCTTCAAAGCGCTCCATGGCATCGGACCTGGATATCTCCGAGACC